CAATATCCTCGCACCACAGTTATGGTCCAAGGTTAGAACCATGGAAGAACAACACGAACACAAGAGTAGAATAACAAAGATATATTACAACAGAAATATAGTACAAGAAGTTGAAGGTGTTAGTAATGACTGTCCGTCTGGTTTAGAGTGAACTTATATTGTCTCGACTCATTACACCATTCATTCATTATACCTCTTGAGAGGCGCAGTATTTATAGTGTCAGGAAGAGTCCATTATCGTTATAGGTAAGTTCCCATAACACTCCACCCCCGAAGCTTTTGCGTTTCAGGGGTCTTTAGTATTTTTTTATTCTTTGGATTTATTATCAAAGGCTTTGTGACTTTTCTTTTCCTGGTCGATTTTCGTGGTTCAGACATTGTTTGCGGCCTTTGCATATCAAATGTGTCGAATATTGTATCCATCACTTCCTCTTCATGAGGTGGACCGTTAGAATCATCTAACAGCCTCTTTCTTATTTGATTGACATGTCTTTTGTGTGAGAATTTCGGGCCCTGTACTATGTCAACCATGTTCCCGATTCTTTTTTCAATTGTACCTTGCTCCCAGTAGGACGTATTGTTTTTATTCATCTTAAAAAAAACTTTCTCTCCTGGGTGAAATTTTCTTTTTTGTACGCACGACATTGATATTTGCTTTGTTTGTTTAGGTAGCAATTTGTCAAATACTGATCTGATTTTTCGGGCGAACATCACTTCCGTGGGTGATAATACCGATGGCGTAGCACTGTTTGGTGTAATTCGATATACTTGTAAAAATTGTTGCAACGCCTTTTCTGTTGGCACGTCATATGCTTTCCTTAACGCTCTTTTGAGTGTATCTACAAATCTCCCCGCTTGCCCGTTTGATCTTGGGTGATATCGTGGGCATTTGATGTGTTTAACTTGAAAAATTTCACAAAATTTTAAACCTCAACCCTATTTTTAAACACAACCCTTTGATGCGGGAAAGCCGGGATAAATTTCCTAGCATTTTGCTCAAAATATGCTTATTCCCTGTGCTGCCAAGTACAACATATTTGTTTTCTTTCGGAAAACTCTAGTGCTCGGCGTGTGCGTCAAGTAGAAGAATTTGTTTGTGATATACTTCGTTTCCTTTCTTTAAGTGAACAGTTGTTTTGTGGTTCTCTCTCTTTTTTTTCTGGATATTTTTGCAGAATTTGGGGAATTTTGTAGTTAATATCCGACGGTACACCTTTCAAAATGTCCACTATTTCGGGTTTAACTAGTAATCTAGCCAAAAGACGCAATACATTTAAGCGCAATATAGTTACTACTCTTGATGTTCTGAAAAACCAAGAAAAGGCAAGTTGGGATTACTTTAATTCGATAAGGAATGATATTTCCCAATGGATGAAATCAATGGGGAGATAGCAGATATATACCATACTAATGAAGCTGATGATGAGGAGTACTATAGGGAAACGGACATTGAAATAAAGTTCCGCACTGAGATTAAGATAAATTAGAGCCTAATTTTTCGAAGAATTCTTCTCCTATCACGGCTAGGGATGATGAGAATACAAATAACCCACAGTCCTTCCCATTTATCCACATGTTGAAGTGCTGCATTTTCAGCGGCAAGGACTGCGATGTGCATAAATTTGCTTTCAAAAATGTTCTTTCGCAGTTTGAAAATTGTGTGGCCAATGTTAAGTCGAAGGCTGTGAAGCTACAGTATCTGCGAGGATATTTAACTGGGTACGCTTTGCAAATAACGCAACACTTAACTATCAGTGATGATAACTACAATTCCGCCATACAAATATTAAAGGAGGAAATTTTAGACAATGAATTTATTGTCGCTGAAATATTCAGGCAGATCAATGAGTCCAAGCCTAACATGGACTCCGATTTAGTTGGGGTGAAGCAATTTCTTACTAAAATACGAGCTGATCTGTTTGAGTTAAGAAGTTCCTTCGATTTGGATTTCCTTCAAAAGAATTCTCCTGGGAATAAATATTTAATTTTTGTTATATTTTCAAAACTGCCAGTATCGTTTAAAAGAGAACTAATTCATTGCGTTGAAACGAATTATCCTTCTTTATCTCAAAGTTTTGCTAACTATAGTGAAGTTATCAAGACCCTTGTGATTACAAAAAGTAAGTCATATAATAGTAATAACAATAATAGCAACAGTGTAAATAACTCTCAGAAAACTAAAATTCACGACTGGAGTCCAAAGGTCCGTAATTCTAGTCAGAATAAAAATTTAATGTCAACATCAGGAGTAGTAGTAATCTTCCGAAATGTAAATTCTGTGATGAAGAAAAACATTCAAGTACTAAATGTTTCAGATATCCTTCCCTAGAGTCCAGATTGAATAGGTGTAAATAATTAAAGTTATGCCTACTATGCATGAGTAGGAAACATTGCAAAGATGAATGTAGAGGAGGGAATAATAAATTAAACATTGAATGTATGTTCTGTAACTCGAGGAGCAATATATGTGTGTTATGCCCCCTTAAGTTTAGAAGTAAACCCTCGACGACGAATATGTGTCTAAATACACAGTCAGGACAGCCTAATTTTATTCTGACAGTGGTTTGCCTATCTGTCAGCAGTGGTGACAGAATACATAACTTCAACTGTCTCGTGGACACGGGAAGCCAAAGGTCTTATTTTTCTGAATCAGTTTTGAGGAGGCTGAAAGGGGACGACTACTACGTTGCCCCTGCTGATTATGAAGTAAGGACATTTTGGGGTTCTCAGCTCAAAAGGTTGAGGGAGGTGAAATTTGATATATGATTTCCCAGTGGTACTCGTTCCCTTCCAATTTTAATTGATAACCAATTTAATATCAGGTTTGATGTTGATTGTTTTCATCTGATTACTAAAAACCTGAAAAATCTAAACTTTAAGTTAGCTGGAAAATTTGCTAAAAATACAGATACCATTTTGGTGCATGGTTTGTTGGGGGGGGGTTGATACAGTTTATGAAGCCTATGCATCTGATAAAATGCATGGGTGGTACAGCATGGAAACTCCCCAACGGGATCATTCCATTTGGAAATGTTAATAATTTCTTGTATCAGAACCAAATTATCCTTCCTGGAAAAGGGCAGAAACGTCTTGTAAGTTACCTTTAATAAAATTTCGGAAAATGTACTTATTTGTTGAAGCAAGTATTAAATTTGCTAAAAAAGTTTTTAAATTTCCTCATTTTAGGCTCACGAAGTCGTAGCTTTTTGGGCTTCAAATGTGTGATTAATTAGATTTACTCTTAAAAATAATTTTAGTATTAAAATTACATTGTTATTTTATATTTTCCCCAGATGGAATTGGTTTAATTGGATTTAATTCATCCATATCTTACTCCATGCTAGCTATCTTGTGGGTGGAAAAATGGGATTTCGTTTCTGCAACAAACTGAAGTTTATTGCATCTTTGTTTGAGGGGAAAGTGTTGGAATTTAATTTGAGAACAACAATTTCACAAGTTCACATTCTCGCTATTTTTTCTATCCTCACTCCAACCTCTTTTTAATTTCAAAAGCGGCTCCCAAGGACTTCATTCCTATCAGAGATAAGAATATATTTTCTGACTAAGGAGAGACCTGGAAAATAAAAAGGAATTCCACCACCATTATTCTTTCCATGGAGCCATAAAGTCTGGGAGAAACCTCACAGCTTCTTCACTTCAACCTGTCTTCAGTACCTTCGAAACTGGCTCCCAGGGTCCTGATTCTTATCAGAGATAAGAATATGTTTTCTGACCAATAGAAGGGCCAGGAAATTTGTACAACAATTTTGGAGGGAAAAGTTCCCTATCCATCGGAGCCTACGAAAACTCCATAAATTTGGAGAATCTTGCCTATTTCGACAGTGAGATATCTGCTCACCGTCTGTGAGGTCGACATTAGGAAGCTCCAGCACCTCTTGTAGCGGACCGTGGGGGGTGATGAGTATATAGAAGAATACACGTGAGTTAAAATTTCCTGCTAGCCGGTCCAACTACATGAGAAAGGTGGACTTTAATTAAGTCCAAAGAAAACAAAAAAAATAAACAAGACCGATAAATATATGTAAACAAATATATGTATTAACAACAAGTTAAAGGTTATATATGGGTTGTAAAGGATTAGTTAGTTTAGTTCATAGAGACGATGAAGTATTATGGTGCTTGTAGTTTGAAAGGTACGTATGAAAGTGTTGTTTTGGTGTAAGGAATATTATTCGTACGATTGGGTCAGTGTTTGCGGCTAGCTAAGTTATAATTAAGACAGAAGACCGACCTCACCCCATTCCCCTATTTCGGCCTTGTGCCACATTTCTGTGTAATTACAGAATAAATATCACAACAAGTTAAAGGTTACAAGCACATGGACAGTTACATGGACAGTGTGTGTGGTGTTTATTTATAGCCAGGGCAGAGAGACCCCTGGTGAAGGGTTAAGGAGCCGAGGAGGAGCTAACTCCGACAATAACTCCCGTCAGATGGAAAGTTGTAGGAAACGAAAACTTTTAATATGTAAGAAAAGGGTTCATGAAAGTTTTGAATAGTGTCCTTGTCAGAAATGTGGTTGAGATGCGAGATTCGACGAAATGTGCTTGCGTTGTTGTCAGGGTGCTCGGTGCTGTGTATTTCTGTTATCCGACAAAGTCGGAGCACGTCCTGGAAAAAACGTCGGTTGTGGTCTGCGTTTGCTATCAAAATTTGTCTTTTTTTCCAATGCTCCACGTTGAATTGGCTTTGTCGTTCCGTCAACCTGTTTTCTGGCCTGGTTGTAGTTTTGTTTAGAAAACGAGGTTGTTTGTTTTTGTATGCGTGGATAAAATTAGCACACAAGATTTAATAGAAGCAGCGTTGTGGCGAAGTTGAGCTGATATAGACTTTCTACCGAGTTTCGAATGCATGCTTAAGAAAATTTGCTATTATTGTCGATTGAATATCGCACTTGCAAATTCTTAGTTGCGTTGTTGCAAAGATAAAGGACAGTGAATCGCCTTTTGTTGATGAAGATAAAGGACAGTGAGTCGCCTTTAGTGGTTGAAAATAAAGGACAGTGAGTCGCCTTTAGTGGTTGAAAATAAAGGACAGTGAGTCGCCTTTTGTGGTTGAAGATAAAGGACAGTGAGTCGCCTTTTGTTGATGAAGATAAAGGACAGTGAGTCGCCTTTAGTGGTTGAAAATAAAGGACAGTGAATCGCCTTTTGTGGTTGAAGATAAAGGACAGTGAGTCGCCTTTTGTTGATGAAGATAAAGGACAGTGAGTCGCCTTTAGTGGTTGAAAATAAAGGACAGTGAGTCGCCTTTAGTGGTTGAAAATAAAGGACAGTGAATCGCCTTTTGTGGTTGAAGATAAAGGACAGTGAGTCGCCTTTTGTTGATGAAGATAAAGGACAGTGAGTCGCCTTTAGTGGTTGAAAATAAAGGACAGTGAGTCGCCTTTTGTGGTTGAAGATAAAGGACAGTGAATCGCCTTTTGTTGATGAAGATAAAGGACAGTGAGTCGCCTTTAGTGGTTGAAAATAAAGGACAGTGAATCGCCTTTTGTGGTTGAAAATAAAGGACAGTGAGTCGCCTTTAGTGGTTTGGTTCACACTTTATCTATTTCAGTCCAGAAGAAAGGAGTTGAATTACTTGAATATAACGTTGCGTTTTCAGTTTGGCAAGCCGGGTGAAATTAGGTCAAACATCGCCAAGAGAAAGAAAGGGTCAAGCAAATATAGACCAGTGGGGAAAGATTTCTAAGGCTCGTCTCATAGTAGTAATTGCACTTGTTCTAGTGGCGATTAAGGCTTCTGTGATTTCCACGTGTTGAAAATTCTTTTCGCTGCGCAGGAGAAAATTGTTTTGTAGGCATGTAGTGAATTAAAATTTGTGATTTTTGTACTTTCATCAGTTTAATCACAAATTTTTGTTGCTGTATAAAAGTTCTTCCGTTAATAGTATACGGCGTGCGTAGGATACGAAAAGAAGTTTTTTCAGTATTTTTCCTACCTGGCTCTCTTTTGGGAAAGTGTGTGTAAATGTGAGTTTGTACATATATATCGTCCTGTGTGTTTTAGCAGGAGTTGAAGGATAAATCACGTCGGGAAGTCACTATTATGTAGAGGACCGTTGGGTGAAAATGTGATGTATTGTAGAAGAATACACGTGCGTCAGGGTTGCTGAATGTGCCTGGCGGGGATTTTGTGTGCCGGTGTACCTTGCATTTCTGGCACTTAAGGCACGTTGATACCCAATTACGGATGTCAGTATTCATGTTGGGCCACGCAAAACGATCGGTAATGAGTTTGACCGTAGCGCGCTTGCTGGGATGTGACAATTCATGTAGGTGGTTGAAAATTTGCCTTCTGAGCGCCGGAGGTATGTAGGGTCTGGGGTGATCCAGTTTTGTATCGCAGTACAATATTTTGTTGCTGAAAGGTGCCGGAAATTCTTTCAGTTGCAGGGATGTGTTGGCTAGGACTTCAGGGAGGGTTGCTTCGGATTCCTGGGCCTCTGCTATTCACGTCCTGGCTGAGTGGGCTGTCTTCCACTGTGTTGACATCAAATCTGGATAGGGCATCGGCGACAGAGTTGTCTTTTTCTTTGACATAACGAATATCGGACGTGAACTGTGAGATATAATCCAGATGCCTGATCTCGCGAGCCGTATATTTGTCCGAATTGTTCGTCAGGGAAGTTGTCAAGGGTTTGTGGTCGGTCAAAACGGTGAAATTCCGGCCTTCCAGTAGATGTCGGAAGTGTTTGATGGCGAGATATATAGCCAAAAGTTCTTTCGAGAAGGTGCTCTATCTGGACTGGGCTGGTGATAATTTAGCTGAGAAGAATGCGATGGGTATGCGTTGGTCGTCAAACTCCTGTTCTAACACAGCTCCAACTCCAGTGTCTGAGGCATCTGTTGTTAGATATATCTGAGTCCGGGTGTCTTCGTTGAGATGTGCCAACTTCGTAAAGTTAGCTAAAAAGTTTTTTGCTGCTTGGAATGATTTTTCCTGGTCGCCCTCCAGGGTGATGGCTTTGTTTTTTCTCTGGAGGAGATTTGTCAGTGGGGTGAGGAGTTTTGAGCATCCGCGGATAAACCTGCGGTAAAAATTTACCATCCCCAAGAAGCGTCGCAGTTGCTTTATTGATGTGGGCATCAGGAAATCCTGTATGGCTCTTATCCTATCGGGGAGTGGGGTGATTCCCTGAGCGTCTGTGTGGTGTCCGAGGAAGTCTATGTGTTGTGTGCCGAATTCGTACTTGTCTGGGTTGATTCAGAGGCCGTAATGTGTTAGACGGCGGAACACTTCCTCCAGGTGTTGTTTGTGGAGATCAGCGTCTCTGCTAGCCACTAGGATGTCATCAATGTATGCGTAGACGTATGGTAGTCCACGCAGAACTTCGTCCATCAGCCTCTGGAACGTCTGGGCTGCGTTGCGCAGTCCGAAAGGCATTTTTAGGAATTCAAACAGTCCAAAAGGGGTTGTGACTGCTGTCTTTGGGATGTCCTCCGGAGCAACTGGAACTTGGTAGTAGGCTTTGGTCAGGTCGATTTTTGAGAAAATGCGGGCCCCCTGTAGACCTGAGGCAAAGTCGTGGATAAGCAGAACAGGATACCGATCGGGCACTGTGGATGCATTGAGTTTCCGGTAATCCACGCAGATCCTGTAATCCCCGTCGGGTTTGGGTACCAGATGCAGTGGTGAAGCATATGGGCTGTCTGAGGGTCGGATGATATTGTCAGCCAGCATCTCCTCAAACGCTTTTTTGGCATATGCTAATTTGTGTGGAGGGAGTCGTCGTGGCCGTGAAGAAGCTGGTTGTCCGGTGGTCTTTATATGGTGTTGGGTCTGATGGTCGCCTGCATCAGTTGGTTTGATGGGTTGCGTGAGGTGCTTGTACCGGCGCAGGATTTCTACGTAGCGTGGGTCGTGCTGTGTTGCCACGCTGATCCTAGTTGTGTTGAAGCTCGAAGGGATCCCTGTGATCTTGATGGATGTCGTGTTGTCGGACAGGGTCCTCGCCTTCATATGGACAGCCAGGTTGTAATGTGCCAAGAAGTCGGCACCGAGCAAGGGTGTCTTGACGTCAGCTACAGTGAATGACCAGTTGGTGTAAGCTCCTTGGTCCCATAGGTTTCTATGGTGGCGCCATTTGCCGCTCGAAGTTGGAATGAGGTAGGTTTCAAGGCGGATTTGTTGGTGGGTGGTATCACGCTGATGGCTGCGCCAGTGTCAACTAGGAATTTGAGGCCATTGTTACGGTCCCACACGTAAAAGAGACGACTGTGTGAGCGAGTACCGACCGGGATCGTCGTCGCTGCCTGTCGGTCTATTCGTTTTTCCTGGGTCTTATTGCGTCTGCAGGGAGGGTGGCACTTGCGGGCTCAGTCACCGAAGGTTTGGTGGTACCAACATTCGTCCGCACTGTTTCTCCGTCCTGGACTTGAGCTGCAGGTACGGCTTCGATTTCGTGGTGCTGGGCTTCGCTGCCTCCGGCATAGGGAAAGTTTCAGGTCTCTCAACTCTGCGCGTAGCTGGGTCATCTCCTCTTCGAGGCGTTGTGTGTGGTTTCCGTTACTTTCAACCTGGTGAACGTTTTGGTGAGCCTGGGAGTATATTTTGTCGGCTGAGTCGGCCACAACGTCAAGGGGCGTTTCTACTGGTACCAGGGCTAGGACTTGTGTTATATTCGGTGGTAACCGATCCATTCATAGCCCTCGGAGGATAGGTTCTGCCATGGTGTTGTTCCCGAGGCGGCTTTTCATCAGGCGGAGGAGCTGGGATGGTGTTCTATCGCCGAGAGACACATTGGAGAATAGGTCTCTGATGAGGTCTTCGTCCGAACGTCCAGTTCGTTTGAGGATGGCTTCTTTGAGGCAGGTGTATGGGAGTTGGTCCGGAGTATTGAGAAGGATGTCTTCCACTTCTTCCACGATTGATGCTGGTAAGGCTTGTACCACGGAGGCGTATTTAGTGTCCTGTCGTGTGACCTTTCAGGCTGAAAATATCGCCTCAAGTTGAATAAACCAACTCCTGGTGTCGATCGAGTTGTATGGCGGTAGTTGTATCAGGGCGGCTGATGTGTTGACTTCTGGTTCGGTGTGTTCCGCCATCTTCTCTGCTAGCCGTTTGCCTGTGTCCATTGATCACGTCGGGGTTACCACTTGTTGCAGCGGGCCGAGCGGTGTGAGTGCCAATCGACCGTACAACTAAAAAGGGGACACAAAGGCAAGAAGATGGCAATAGCAAAGAAGGATGACAAACGCAGATGCTCCGTTGTAGACGATAGAAATCGTGTCCTTCTTTGCTATTGCCATCTCCTTGCCTTTTGTGTCCCCTTTTTAGTTGTACGGTCGATTGGCACTCACACCTCTCAGCCTGCTGCAACAGGTGTCCCCAAATGTTGAAAATTTGGTAGAAAAAGTAGTCAAAGTTATGGTGACCGAAAATGGTCAGAATTCATCTGATCAGAACCAACAAAGTGACGGAAACAAAAAGGAAAATGTGCCGGTCGGAGAGATATCCCCACCCAAATGTAAAATCAACATAACGGAGTTCCCGGAGAAAGCCAAGAGCTACGCACATCTGGTAACAGCATTTGTCTCTTGACAAATCCCGAGGAACTTTAGAAGGCTGAAAAAAGAATTTTGTCGATCTTTCTGGTGGACAAGCTTCTGTGAAAAATCTGTCGCTTCACAAAAGATACTGTTATCAAAGCCTAGATTTCTCTGGGAATCAAAGCTCAAAGAGTCATCAAAGGGTGGAGTTTTGAGATCAGGATTGATAGGAAGGCCTTCATCTCCATCCCCAATTACCTGGATGTAGAGGGCCATAAAATGTCGATAATAGTCACTGGGCGAAGACCAACATGCTGGAAGTATGGACAGAATGGTCACCTGTCCTCTTCCTGCAATGAGAAGAAGGCCTCTGAAGTTCTGGCCCCCACCCAACCAAATCCCCCTTTAGTCGAGTCTGTTGTTTCTTTCTCGCCTGTAATGGGCATGCCAGCGATCAGGACCGGTGTGTGGATAATCCCCCGGTTGGGTTCAACTCTCAGCCCCTATTCCCCTAGGAGCCTTTGCCCGCCGCTATTGCAGTTGCGTAGAAGGGAGAGGGGGAATGGCAGGTTTTTGGTAGGGCAAAAGAGAAGCTCCAGGCAGCGGGACCTCGTTCCACAACAACTAAAACAGGCAAAGGCACAAATAGTCCTACTCCCTTTAGCAGCTCCAAGGGCGACTCTCTGACCAGCTATACCGAAAGACTCAAGCAATACTAACGATCCTACGAAAAAATAAAAAAAATAAAAAATACAAAAATTGAAAGAATTACACAGAAACGCCTGCAAGCTGAAAAATGAAGTGGCTCATCTTCAGCTCCAGCATCTGAGATAGGTACAGGATCGTTGGGACCGTCGGTGTCCTTACCCCGGCCATGTTCAATGCAGGAGTGCAACCCTAATCGGTTTGATAAATATCTATCTGGTTAGCAAGTCTGAATGCCCGAGGCCTGAGGTCGGAATCTCGCAGGGCAAGGCTCTCTCATGACCTTCAGCGTCTCGGGGTGAATATATGTTGTGTGCAAGGGACACGTTTTTTTTTTCTCGCGATTATGAAGGCATTCTGTCTAGGTAGATCAGGCAATTAAATCCCGTGATAATGGGGAAATAGCTTTAGCTAAGGCAAAGTTGGCCTCCTTGCTTATCAAGAAGGATCAACTACTAAAAAAGAATGTCTTCTGAGGCGACGAATATGGCCGCTGAATTGCGTGCAGAGAAAAGTAGGAATACGTCTCGGCGGCATATCGCGTGCGTCACAATGCCAGATAAGCGGACCGTGACTACAAACACAGACATATGTGAGGCTTTTCGAGATTACTTTCAGGAACTTCACCACGCTTCACCAGGGGTGTGATCAAGTTACTACCCAAGGACAAGGACAAGAACGGTGGAGATAACTTTTTGTCCTTTAACGATGTTAAATACTGAGTTAAAGATTTTGGCAAAGATCTTAGCCAACGGTTTGCAGTTTGTGCTCTCTAGTCTGATTGACTCCGAATAGACTTGTGCTGTGAAAAGCAGGACTTTTCATGACAACCTTCATATGGTCCGACGCTGTGATGAGGAAGTTGGTACCCTGGGTCACGTCTTCTTTCATTGCAGGGTGGTAGCTCTGTGGTGGAGGTTTGTTGAAGGCCTCATGTTTCGCATGCTGCTGGGAAAGTTCTTTGTCCTTGAGGCCTCTTCTGTTTGTAGCAATGTGACACCGCCGTTGACGACGGCTGAACGATATGTGTTCTTTTGCTTGCTAGGTGTTATGAGAGTCGTGATTTGGACGACACGTCAGAAGGGATTCTATGGAGGCGAAACGCTCATTTCTTCCCAACTGGTCTTGTACTTTAAGCATCAGCTTAAAGTCAAGATTAGAGCGGAAAAGCGGCGGCTTGCTTCATCAGTATTTGGCAAAAGGCGGGTGAATCTTGCGCGGTTGTGTCGAGTGAAAGGAGCTGGCTAGGAGTAGCACTTTGATGCTGGTTAGGCATCAGGATTTTGTTCTTCTTTCGTTGAACATAGGCAACCCATCCCGAAATTAGGCTAGTTTAGGCTTGTTTTAGAATTTTTTTCTTTCACTTAAATTAGCTAGGGTATGTATGCTCATCGGCCCCTTTTATTTTTCTTTAGTTTAATTCCCTATCTCCTCCCTCGTTAGGTGGTCAGTGATGTCAGTTCTCTGGTAGATGCGAGGTGTCTTTCGTTTCGCGTGTGTGTTTTCGTATTTGTTTTTGTGTCTGAATGAGTGCGTGTCTGTGTGAGTGCTTGGCATAAATGAATGTTTTATACTATTATAGTCCCGCATTGATTTCGTCCAGTTAACTGATGTTTCTGTTACATTTTAGGATTGTGGGTTTTTTATTACTAAAATTATTTTGTTTAGTTTGTTGTAAATAATTTTGTTTCATATTGTACATACTCATAGGGGATTTTTTTTAATTGTTGTTTTCATTCCACTTCCCCACCCAGACAATGGGTGGGGAAGTAGAATAAAAGTGGAAGTACATATAGGCGTTATTTAGGATTTTCATAGAGAAAATGAGGTGGATGTAGTAAGTAAAGCAAGTAAGAATGTGTTGTTTAGGACTATTGTTTGTATTGTTGGTATGTTTTGTGGCTAGCTAAGTTTAAAGTTAAGACAGAGGAAGACCGTCCTTTTCCCTGATTCACATTTTGGCCTTGTGCCACATTTTGTACGATAGTACAAATAAATATCGTGAGCATTGTGATATCTAACGAATTGCGACTAAATTTGTCACACAATCTTAAGTTTTTCGTTCATACGAACATTATACAACTTATTCACACTGACTCACCAAAATTCACCAGTGAACTTTATATCTCACCATTCGAGAACATTGTATCGCATCCGGCCGGAATCTACTGCCGGCTACTCAGACGTCTAAAAAGCGTCACCGGAAAACAGAACGAATGCCGTTAACTTCCGGTGACTCAGCGTTTTTTAGAGAACGATACACAAAAAGCAAAACATACGAGATATAAACAAACACAAGTCCTCCTAATGACCAGAAACTACTTTGTATACATATGGTGTCCAAATGAAACCCATGTGTACAGTCAGTCCAGCGAACACAGAGAAGTGCTAATCTAATCCACGTAACTTGCGATTATAATTTTCCCGCGCGAAAAAACCCCACAACTGACTCATCCACAAACTCGACTCGAAGATTACTTTGTGAATACAGAGAACTTCAACATGCAGGACTTTACTCATCCAAAGTGAATTATTAACGCTCACTACAATTTAAGTAAATACTATTATTGAACATATTTCATACTTACAGTTAAGGGTAGACTTGTTGGGGACGTGCAGAGTTTGTTAAATATATGAGAAATAATCAGAAGGAATTTTGAGTTGGTTGCGTGTCTGTCTGCATCCCAAACAAATAATTAAATTAAACAAAATTCAAAATACAATTGAAAAGACGGGACATATTCAAATAGAAATCAAAACAACATTTATATCCAATTCAACATATATACAGATAGGATTATTGACGTATGATATGTATGCGAGATGTGTATGTAGTTTTGAGATTTCTGAATATCTCTTGTTGCGATTGTTCGTTGATTTTTGTAGTCTTTTGTTTGTGTTGATAATTACGATTGTTAATTTAGAAAGTGTTTTTGTAGAGTGATCTACCTTTAACTGCAGTTGGTGTTTTTGTAATGTCGTTCGCTCGATAGTATTTATTTAATTAAGTAGTGAATTTAATTCACTTTACATAAGCAAAGTTGATAAATGGTGTACACAGAGTTGATTAATGCTTGACCGAATATGAGTCAGCGATGTGTCTTTTTGCGCGGCAAAATTGTGATTCGTAGTGACGTGGAGTATTTTAGAAAGTTCTCTGTGAATTCGTGATACTGACTGTCTAAAGTTGGTAATTGTCTTTAACGTCTGGTCAGCAATGACTAAGACGGGAGCCGGTGAATGTTACATCTTGAAACTTGGTAATTACTGCTCCTCTGAAGGTTCACACGTTTTCTCTTTATATAATCACCGGGTGACTCGCAGCATATGAGCGGGAAAACAGCTTAGTCGCGTGCAGGCGGTTTGATTGGTCGGAACTGACCAATCAGCAAGCCAGATTGGAGGTGATTGACCAATGAATACTTATTGTCTGAAGGTAGAATTTGGCTTACTAGATAGGAAGAGTGCATTTCCTACAAAGAGGTAAGGCTGGTTGTGTTGTGGAAGAGTCTACAGACTACTTCTGAATGACTTAATTCTAAACAATACAAAAAGAACAACACGAACATAATAACAAAATCTTCATCCACTAAAAAACACAACAACACAATAATATCTTGTAATAATACTTTGTATATAATATTTGTATTGTATACAATTGCATTTGTTTGTTTGAATTGCATACATGTTTTGCCTTGTTTTATATTAAGTATTATTCATTGTTGTGGATGCAAGAGAAGATCACGCAACCTGACAAAAATTCCTTTTGATATATTCTAACACCATAGCAAAAATCTTAGTTCATTCTGCGCATCCCCAACAAAATTGATGACCCCGACGTGCGAAAAGTTAAAAAAAATTGTTAAAAAAAAGAAAAACGGAATCCACTCCAACACATTGATCACCCGGCGTTTGAAAAGTCCAACAAATTTATTTCCCCACGTTCTAACATATTTGTGACCGCCAACATCCTGAACAGAGTTTTACTATAATTAATTTGCTAACCCGACGTTTCAAACACTATTACATCCAAAATGTTTTCTCTGCAAACCCAACGAAACTGGTGATCCACCACATACGAAACCAATGGGAGCTACCCAATAAATTGATGATCTTAACGCGCGAAAAGAAAAGTAAGCCAACACGTGTCTTCGCACCAACAGATTGATGATCCCAAAAAATTTCTACAAGAGAATCACAAATCTCCTGAGAAAGCACACCAATGCCAGTAAACTGACAATTTTAATATTCGCACCATAACGGTCACCAGCAACTTTCAAAAAAAAAAAAAAGGAAAAGATACACTGAAAATATTTCCCTCCAAAACCACGACTACCTAAATGGCAGACCCAGTTCCTTTAACAGAAACAGCAATTGGGCTTGAAATCCCTGCATTCAACCCAAATGTTCAAACTTGGTTTCTACAATTAGATGCGATATTTCAAGCAAGGCATGTAACTTCCCAACAGTCAAAGTTTGCGTTCGTAGTGGAGAAATTACCTGCGGAGGTAGCAGCCGAAGTAACTGACATACTAACTTCTCTACCGACCGATAAGCCGTATGAAACTCTTAAACAAGCTATTCTTCATAGAACTGGATTTTCAGTAGAGAGGAAAATACGAGATCTCCTAACTAATGTAACGATCGGTGATTCGAAACCATCCCAGTTGCTACGACGCATGCAGTCACTATTAGGTGATAATAACATATCCGCTACAGTGTTTTGCCAACGTATTCAACGACATTATTTTTGCACCAACCTAATATTAAAACAAAAAGACCTCTAGTCCATTCTCAACCTCGCCGACTCCATCCAAGTAAACTACGAATAGCTCGTGATGAATTTGACAACATGCTCAAATTGGGTGTAATTCGACCTTCAGCTGTCCTTATGCCAGTCCCCTACATATGGTATCTAAAGCCGACTCAGCCAGTTGGCGTCCATGTGGCGATTATAGATTGTTAAATGCACAGACCGTCCCGGACAAGTACCCAATCCCGCATATTAAGGATTTCGCCCTTTCGTTGGAAGGCGCTAAGGTATTCACTAAGCTTGATTTAAAAAAAGGCATATTACCAGATCCCCATAGACGAAGCTGACATTCCTAAAACAGCCATTACGACACCTTTTGGCCTCTCTGAATTCACAAGAATGCCCTTTGGTCTGCGTAACGCGGCGCAGTCCTTTCAAAGTCTGATCGATGAAGTTCTACGTGGAATGCCCTACGCGTATGCTTATATTGACGACGTGCTGGTAGCAAGTAAAACACATGAAGAACATCGTGAGCATTTACATGCGGTTCTCCAAAGGTTACAGCATTACGGATTAAAAATGAACATTGATAAATGTGTTTTCGCAGTCCCGAGTTTGACTTTCCTCGGACATGTTTTAGACCAAAATAGATTGACTCCCCTTGATCAGAAAATTACTGCGATAGTCAATTATCTTCCACCTTCTACGCTAAAACAATTGCGAAAATTCTTGGGAATGATAAACTATTTCCGACAGTTTATTCCAAATTGCGCATCGATACTATTACCACAAACAAATATTTTATCCCAGCATAAAAAGAAAAATTCGCAGATATCTCTATCCCGAGACGAACTTAATTCTTTTCAGAAAGCGAAAGATGCACTTCAGGACTGTGCCAAATTGACATATATAATCTCATTAGAGGACACTAAACTCACTTTGAATACGGATGCATCAGCCGATACAATTGGTGCAGTGTTACACCAAATTACGAATGGCATCGAGACACCTTTGTCGTTTTTTTCACTTAAATTGAGAAGAAGTACAGTATCTTTTCTAGGGAATTACTTGCCGTTTATCTGGCGATATGGCATTATAGACACATCCTAGAAGGCAGACTTTACTATTTTCACCGATCACAAGCCACTGACTTACGCACTACACGCGAAGTCTGACAAACTCAATCCTCGAGACATCCGCTACCTTGACTACATCAGTCAATTCACGTCGAGCATTCGATTCTTAAAAGGACAGAACAATACTGTTGCGGACGCATTGTCTAGACCTACACTCGATGCGATATAATCACCTTCACTCGATTTTGACATGTTAGTTGAAGAGCAGTTAAGTGACGAGACATTTACTTCAATTCAATCAGATACTTCTTTAAAGCAGGAAAAGCCTCCACTTCCGTTCACCGACAAGCTCGTTTATTGTGACGTCACAACAGGCAATTCTCGCCCTTACCTTCCACCGTCGATGAGGAGAACAATTTTTAATTTCCATTCGCCAGCTCACCCAGGCAGGAAGGCTACGCTGCGGACCATATCTGACCAATTTTATTGGCTTTCGAATGATTGATTTTGTTTTGATTGATAATATATCGATTTTCAATAATTTTGTTGGCTTTCTAAAGATTCCAGATGTTAATTTAAATTTATAAGCAAGCGATTTTAACGTTCGTAAAGTAGCCAAAACAGCTTGATTTTGCACGTAGATCTCAATATCATTCAACCATAGTAAAACATAAATATTGTAATATAACATTGAGAAAAGTGTTGAAACTGTAGAATCAGATTCCTACATTTTTTTTTAAATCTTAAATTTTGTGCAAGTTAAACACATAGAGGCTCCGAACCAGATATAACAACTGATGTATTTTGATTGGTTGTAAAATATTAATTAGGTGTCGTCAACTACGTCCGAAGGTACCGACCCAAATTTTGACCTCTAGTTGACGCCATAAAATGTAAACTCCCCACGTGACCAAGAGAACTAATAAAAACGAAACTTCGACGCGACTTGGTCAGTGGGCAATTAAAATATTGAACCAATTCACTTGACTTCATTGGAAATCAACACAGCAAAGGAGAAGAACTTTATCTTCAATACAACAACAAACTTTGTCAACCATCTCCAGGCTTAACGCTCACTCCCACAAATATTCCATTCCACAAGAATCTCTGGTTAATGAGCGATAACAATCAGTGAGTCAAGACAATACTTTTTTCTATTTATTACACAAAAAACATCTGTTTAATTTTCCTATAAAAAAAATATAGCTAACTAAACTTTGTCATTTTCACACATACAGTACAGTAACTCAAATTCTTTCAATAACACACATATTTGCACTATATATTATGTATTTGTTGTGTTTATAAAAAATATTTATTGTTGAACAAATTCACAATTTCTTCTACTTGATTATTTCTCTTGTTGTTGTCTTTGTTACATTTGATATTGTAAAAATTGTAGAGGGTCAGTTTTTATTTCTATTTATAACCAATACAAATTATCTGACCCACTATAATTTGGTGACCCCGAAGTTCAAATGTGCAAAGCAATATTTTAAAAACAGCATTTTATAAGAGAAATACTTTAGTTGTCACGTTTTAAACGAAAACAATGGAAAATTCTACCAGCGAACATACTGAAGCGGCAATTTCCATCAGTCTACCGACGTACAACCACACCAACGTTCAAGTGTGGTTTGCGCAGTTAAACGCAATGTTTAATGCAAGAAAGGTCACGTCCCAACATGCCCATTACGCTTTTGTAGTTGAGAAACCTCCCTCAGATGTAGCATTAAAGGTAGCAGACCTCCTCAGTGAAGTGACGGCGGAGAAACCGTATGATACTTTGAAAGATGCTATACTATACCGCACGGGCGAATCAGAGGAACGTCGGTTGCACGATTTGTTCAATAACCATCATTTGGGACACTATAAACCTTCCCAATTGCTTAGAAAGATGAAAGCTTTACTAGGTGACAATACCATGTCTGACACAGTCCTCCGTAAACTATGGATGGATAAACTGAGCCCACAAACGTCACAAATATTAGTGTCACTCCCGGACGATTTGGACCTACAGCGATTGCAGAAATCGCGGACAAAATATATGAGAATAAACCTCCGGGTCCGTGACTCACAAGAGTTATCGAAAATTAAAGATTGTATAGCAGAGCTTACCTCACAGTTACAAGCTCTACAAATCGCTGTGCATCAGCAAAACCGCACACCTAACAATTTCACTAGACGACCACGTCCATCACATCATACTAGGCGAAGATCACGTTCCACATCCAGAAGCAGGCCTATATTTGATACCTGTTGGTATCATTTTAAATATGGACAACATGTGCGGCATTGTACGAAACCGTGTAACTTCGACATAAACGCAGCTAAGGATAACAACACACAACAGTCGGGAAACGACTATCCCGGCAACAAGTAGAGACGTTTGCTGCCGGAGGGATGCCAAAAAGTCGTCTCTTTTACATCCGAGATGAGAGCTCCGGCTACTTGTTTTTAGTGGACACAGGGGCACAAATTAGTGTAATACCAGCCAAGCCTAATATGTTGACTAGAAAGACAGATTATACGTTACAAGTGGCGAATGGATCTTCAATCCAAACATATGGTGAAACCTCGTTAACCCTAAATCTGGGATTTAGGCGATCTTTTCCATGGGTATTCATGATAGCCCAAGTTCGAACCCCAATCCTAGGAACGGATTTCCTCGCCCACTTTAACTTGTCCGTTAATATGTCTTCCCTTTATTTGGAGGATAAAACGACCAACATTACAAGGAAAGGAATTACATCTATTTATACGAGCACATGTATCAGCGCAACTATACCTGAAGCCAACGGAATGCAGGATCTGTTACAAAATTATTCTCAAATTACAACACCATTTCAGTATACAGAAACCGTTCGTCACAATGCTGAGCACCACATTGATACTACGGGCCCACCCACGCATTCATCTCCACGGCGATTGAGGCCTGATAAATATAAACTGGCGAAAGCCGAGTTTCAGCACATGCTGGACCTCGGTATAATTAGACATTCTTCGAGTCCTTACTCATCCCCTCTTCATATGGTTCCAAAACCGGACTCAGGAGCTTGGAGACCTTGTGGCGACTTCCAGAAGCTGAATGCTACTACAATTCCGGATAAATACCCCATCCCGCACTTGCACGATTTCGCAGTGGGTTTGCAGGGCGACACAGTCTTCACCAAACTTGATCTGGTGAAAGCATTCCACCAGATACCAGTGGCCAAGGAAGACATCCATAAAACAGCAATAACTACACCCTTTGGCCTATACGAATTTGTGAGAATGCCATTTGGTTTAAGGAACGCCGCACAATCTTTCCAACGGCTTATAGACGAAGTGCTGAGAGTTTTACCTTTCACCTTTGCCTATATTGATGACGTCCTGATCGCCAGTAGAAATAAGACTGAACATCGTCATCACGTTGAACAAGTTTTCCAGCGTCTACAGCATTTTGGCCTTAAGATTAACGCAGAGAAATGTATTTTTGCTGTGCCCTCCCTTAAATTTTTGGGACACGTCATTGATGAAAAGGGAATAATGCCCTTACCTGAGAAAATAGAATCTATTTCAAATTTCTCACAACCAACTTCACTCTGGCAGTTACGCCGATTCTTAGGCCTCATTAATTACTACCGGAGGTTCATTCCTGGTTGTTCCCAGATTCTGATTCCCCTCACAGATTTACTGCAACAACAGCGTCAGAAGAACTCAAAGATTACCTTGGAAGGCGAATCACTGACTGCTTTTCACAGAGCCAAAGACGCCCTTGGTCAACTTTACGAAGTTATCATATATAACCGATGATGACTCAATGATCACACTGACAACAGACGCATCAGGCGACTCCATAGGGCTGTGCTTCACCAGGAACAGGAGATGCTAAAAACCTATTTCGTTCTTTTTCAGTCAAGCTAAACTCATCTCAGAAAAAGTACAGCGCATTTTCAAGGGAATTACTGGCAATATACTTGGCAATCTGTCATTTCCGTCATCTTTTGAAGGACGGAATTTTGTGGTCTATACAGGTCATAAACCATTAATTTATGCTCTGCACGCCAAGTCGGACAAATATATTCCCAAGGGATATCCGACAATTGGATTATATTTCCCAATATACGTCGGATATCCGCCATGTAAAAGGGGCTGACAATATAGTAGCTGATACCCTATCGCGATCAACGATACAGTCAATTGACGCACAGACCTTGAATTTCGACTCCTTAGCGGAAGAACAAAAGACTGACACTACTTTGGAATCAGTAAAAGAAAAAATGTCACTACAGTTAAAGCAACACCCTGTGCCATTTGGTAACACTACTGTCTATTGTAATGTAAGCACAGGATACTCTAGGCCCTATGTACCACCTTCTGTGCGAAAAAAAGTATTCGAACATTTCCATTTCTCTGTCGCACCCTGGTCGAAGAGCGACTACTAAGATGATTAGTGATCGTTTCGTATAGCCAAAAATGTCCAGTGACATAAAACACTGGACACAGACTTGTTTAAAATGCCAGCAAACTAAAATACAACGGCATACCAAGTCTCCGCCTGGTACATTCTCTAAGCCTGATGGTAGGTTCACTCACATTCACGTTGACTTAGTGGACCCTTTTCCCGACATTGATGGGTACCAATACTTATTAACGATAATCGATCGTTTCACTCGTTGGCCTGTAGCCGTTCCTTTAAAAAGTATTTCAGCGGAAACGATTTCCAGGTGCATTCTTAGAGAGTGGATCTCTATCTTTGGTTGTCCTTCAATAATAACCACTGATAGAGGTTACCAGTTCCAGTCACTCCTTTTCAATGAATTTATAAACTTGTTAGGCGTAAAGCACATTTCTACAACCGCCTACCATCCATGTGCAAACGGCCTTGTGGAACGATTTCATAGGCAACTTAAGGCAGCACTAGCAGCAAGTGATGACTCCAGGACTTGGCTGGAAAACCTACCACTGATTTTACTGTCATTAAGAAATGTAGTCAAAGAAGACTTAGGATGCTCTACAGCAGAACTTGTTTTTGGGAGTACGCTAACACTCCCTGGACAGTTCGTGGAAAAGCATACTCCTTCCAGACCGACTACCTATTTCGTCCAGGATTTTAAACAAAAAATGTTAAACCTAGCTTTTACTTCAACGCGTGCCCAAACAAGGGAGTTCTTTATGCCGAAAAATTTAGACAGTTGTGATTACGTCTTCCTGCGAAAAGATGCAGTTAGAAGACCCTTAACCCCCACGTATTCTGGTCCACATAAAGTAATTAATAGAACGTCCAAGCATTTTACTTTACTTTTGCACGGAAAAACTAACACAGTGTCAGTCACCGGTTGAAACCGGCTTACATCGATTTATCTCATAAATCGCATCCTGACCCTGAGCTAACATCCTCGACCCAGCCAGCACAGCTTGCACCTTCAGTACAACCTGAGGAAGTTACTACTAAGTCTGGCAGACATGTTCATTGGCCTAGTAGATTTAAAACGTATATTACATATTGAGAAAATTTTTTTCTCAAAAACTTTCACAATCTGCGGGGGGTATTGTAGAATCAGATTCCTACATTTTTTTTAAATCTTGAATTTTGTGCAAGTTAAATTTTGCATGTAAATCATCATGTATTTCAAAACTTAATAAAACTTAAAATTTGTTATATCACTTTGTCAAAAGTTATGAAACTAGTTAAAATCAATACATTTTGATTGATTACATATCGATTTTCAATAATTTCATTGATTTTCTAATGTTTCCAAAGATTTATTTATATTTTGAATCTAGCGTGTTTAACGTTGAAAAAGTAGTCAAAAACACGTTGATTTTGCATGTAAATCATCTTATGTATTTCAAAACTTAATAAAAATACTTAAAATTTGTTTTCATATTACTTTGTCAAAAAAGTTATGAAACTAGTTAAAATCAATACATTTTTTGATTGATTACATATCGATTTTCAATAATTTCATTGATTTTCTAATGTTTTCCAAAGATTTATTTATATTTTGAATCTAGCGTGTTTAACGTTGAAAAAGTGAAAACAGTTGATTTTGTCAAAAAAACTTAATAAAACTTAAAATTTGTTATTTTTTGCAAAAGTTAAATTAAAATCAATACATTTTGATTTTAAAATCGATTTTCAATAAAACTTAAAAAAGATTTATTTATATTTTGAATTTGTTTAAAAAAATTATTTTGAAACTAGTTTTCAAAATCAATAAAACATTTTGATTGATTACATATCGATTTTACAATTTTCAATTTTCATTGATTTTCTAATGTTTCCAAAAAGATTTATTTATATTTTGAATCTAGCATGTTTAACGTTGAAAAAGTAGTCAAAACACGTTGATTTTGCATGTAAATCATCATGTATTTCAAAACTTAATAAAACTTAAAATTTGTTATATCACTTTTGTCAAAAGTTATGAAACTAGTTAAAATCAATACATTTTGATTGATTACATATCGATTTTCAATAATTTCATTGATTTTCTAATGTTTCCAAAGATTTATTTATATTTTGAATCTAGCGTGTTTAACGTTGAAAAAGTAGTCAAAACATGTTGATTTTGCATGTAAATCAACATGTATTTCAAAACTTAATAAAACTTAAAATTTCTTATATTACTTTGTCAAAAGTTATGAAACTAGTTAAAATCAATACATTTTGATTGATTACATATCGATTTTCAATAATTTCATTGATTTTCTAATGTTTCCAAAGATTTATTTATATTTTGAATCTAGCGTGTTTAACGTTGAAAAAGTAGTCAAAACAAGTGGATTTCGCATGTAAATCATCATGTATTTCAAAACTTAATAAAACTTAAAATTTCTTATATTACTTTGTCAAATCTTATGAAACTAGTTAAAATCAATACATTTTGATTGATTACATATCGATTTTCAATAATTTCATTGATTTTCTAATGTTTCCAAAGATTTATTTATATTTTGAATCTAGCATGTTTAACGTTGAAAAAGTAGTCAAAACACGTTGATTTTGCATGTAAATCACTATGTATTTCAAAACTTAATAAAACTTAAAATTTGTTATATCACTTTGCCAAAAGTTATGAAACTAGTTAAAATCAATACATTTTGATTGATTACATATCGATTTTCAATAATTTCATTGATTTTCTAATGTTTCCAAAGATTTATTTATATTTTAAATCTAGCGTGTTTAACGTTGAAAAAGTAGTCAAAACAGCTTGATTTTGCATGTAAATCATCATGTATTTCAAAACTTAATAAAACTTAAAATTTGTTATATTACTTTGTCAAAAGTTATGAAACTAGTTAAAATCAATACATTTTGATTGATTACATATCGATTTTCAATAATTTCATTGATTTTCTAATGTTTCCAAAGATTTATTTATATTTTTCAAA